ACTGGTTTCTTTTGTCTTTGTCTACCACACACTGCCTGTTAAACCTGGGAAGAGAGGGAGATGTGAGGAGCAGCAAGACTGAGCCTGAAGGCAGGACAAGATATACCCAGAGCAGATTCTCAGAGGCTCACCATGAGAAAGGTGCTCCAGTTTGTGCCATTTCCACACTTGCTTTAACTTCAGGTTTCTTCTTTGCACTGAACATCTCAGCCCCCTGCTCTACCTCTGGATGTTCAATAAGGATGGGCTAGAGCTGACAGTTACATGCAGGAGCTCAGGCTGCTGATCTTACTCACTAACCACTAGGCACTGGGTGCTCATGATGGACTAACAAGCCCTAGTGAAGTTAAAAGTGTGAGCCAGGAGGGTCAGAGCCACCTTGGTAGCCTCTGCTGTAAGTTAGATCCCAGTTAGAAGGGAGGAAGAATGCATTTATTCTGAATTAAAAAAGGTGTAGAAAGTTGTTCTGGAGCTAGTAAGGTTAAGAAGTGGGTTTCAGTCCCTGCAGCTCTCCAGGGCTGTGCCTGGGATCCAGGCAGATTGACTGCTTGATTGATTGACTTTTATCCAGTCCAGACTGACTTCTGGACAGCGTTGCCGGTGTGCAAACAGCTCTGCAGCCACCTGTGCTTCAGAGAGGGCTTGGGAAGCAACCAGCTCCTTCCTTCCACACTTGTGTCACCAAATCTATTGCATGTGGCAGAGCTAACACCAGTCTCCCATGTGTGTGGCTCTTACTCGCAGCACAAGCCTGGTGGCCATTTGCAGAGTGAATTTCACTTGCAAATTTGCTATAATTTACTGCTGATTGAACAAGCTTGCAAAGTAAAGACAAAGTTACAGAGCTGGGAAAGGGCTCCCAGCCATGCCCAGTTCTGTAGCTTTTGTAAAGGGTTGTTTCTACTGTACTTGTTAAAGCCCCAAGCTAAGATTTCCCCAAATGGATGCCTGAAAGCAGCTTTTTAAGCATTTCTGTAGCACTTATGTGAAAGCCCCAGTCTCCAAAGAACTGGGCGCCTTGGCTTTTCCCACTGGAGCTCTGGGAAGGGGGCTCCCTGGGCAGCCAGGCTCAATAACCCTGGGGTGCAAGCGATAATGTGCTTCATGTGCACTCGTAAACCTGGGACCTCTTTCCATCACTCAGATTTTAGAGTCACGTTGTTCTTCATGCTCTCCAAGTGGCCGTCAGGCCATCAGGAGTAACTCACTCAAAAAGCCTGACGGACTTAGACACTGAGCTGAGGGTTCCTGTCTTTGCTCTGCAACTCTCTGTGTCTCAGTCACTCAAAGCAGGGAGCAGGCAGGTCACAGCTGCTGATGGCACGGGAGAGCCGTGGGCTACCACCACCGACACAAGGAGCAGTGCATGAGTTGCAGGAGCAACATGCGTGTCTCATCCTCAGAGATGTGCACACTATGCTGCCCAGCTTGTGTCTTTAGATGTTCTTTTATCATGTAACAGGCAGTGACAACATTTTAGGTAGATGGCAGACACACTTTCGTCTTGTGATGGAGAAAGGATGGGAGGCCTCTGAAGTGCCCCCAGGGAGTGAGCAGGGTTTGCATTGCACTCAGAGCACAGAGCAGCAAGGTGCTCAGCCCTTCTAATAAGGTTTCCTGCCCAGCACCACCTTGCTTGCTGGCCACATCCATGGTTGGCCACATCTATACGTAAAGAACATGTGCTTGGCACCTAAAGCATGAGGTAAGACCTCCCTGGTGATCACTGGAGGGCAATCCCAGAGTGAGGGCTATCTCTGGCCCTTCCCAGCTGGGGGGTGAGGTCAGGGACGGCAATGGAGGATGCAGGGAGGATGAAGAGGAGGAAGGACCATGCTGCTGCGCTCTGAGGGCTTTGCTGTTCAGCTCCTGGGAACTGTTTTGTCTCAGTCATATGACACTGTCCTCTCTGTCCTTACCTGCAGGAGTACATGTGGTTCTTCCGGACACTCCTCCTGAAGAAGCCTTTGCAGCCATCACAGCTAGAAGCCCCATAATGCTTCCCCGTGGCACGGTCCCCGCAGATGGCACACAGCGTGCTCGCCCCGATGCTGTTGGAAGTGTTGAGATTGGCTGCTTCTGATGGAGATGTGTCTGCTTGGGGAAGGACACAGCAAGAAGACAGTGAGACAAACAGCCAACATTTCCTAACTCAGTTTCCAGTGAAAGACTTGATTTTTGGCAGAACTAGGCAGCTTCAGCCAGGCCGTGCAGCAGGGGCCGGACAGAGAGATGTCTAAGGAGTGGTGGATACTCTGAGTGTCTTAAGTCATTGCATTTTGAGTGTGCAAAAACTCCCTGTGCGCCAAGGTGAGACAGCTTTTCCCAAAGGCCTGACTGCAGCAACCCCTTTGGACGAAGCAGTAACCTGTTTGCAGGAGTCACAGGGCAGAGCCAAAATTCCTCGGGGATTTGCAGACAGTTAGGGCTGCAGTAGCGTGGCCAGAGAAGAGCTGGTGCAGAGTTAAAGCTGAGATATTACAACTCAGAGTGAGCAGCTGATTTATTAGAGAGGTGTTTGTGTTATAGCCCTGAAAGAGCCCACGATAGTCCTGAGCAGACACTATTAGAGAGACAAGGTGACCATCTCTCTCTGCTGGAGAGCCTCTCTGCCAGGCATGGAGCTCCAGCCTGCACGACAGTTCTTCAAGAGAACAAGACTTTAAATGCACAACAAACTCAAATGACTTCAGCTGGAAAACTCATGTGGGCAAACACTACCTATGCCAGGAAGGACTGACAAAGCTAACCCAGAGAAAGGGTGATGCTATAGCATGGGGGAGGCTATATGCTGGCTGTCCTCCAGAGTCTGGCAGTGCCACGACTGAAACTGATGTGTCTTACAGTCCTTACAGACTAGGGGGGCTGGCATTCACAGGGCTCTTTTAGGAGGATGGGGAATTGCAGCAGGCTCTGTAGGAAAGGACATCTGAAAGGCTTGAAATCATACAAGCCCTACACTAAAACCCCTCCAGCAAGCCAAACAAACCTCAAGGCTGAAGGGATCAGCCTTTAATTCAGTTGATCTAATTGTCCCCTCCCATGCACGTTTTCCTGTATCAACACAGGCACATTCCCCTGCCTCAGTGGAAATCCCAGTTGCAAATGATACTCAGGATCTACAAAGCCATAGAAACCTGCTGGGATTTTAATACCTGAGTCTATTGGTCCCTATTCTCTGAGTTTGGCAGGGACACAGTTAACTCTTGCTCCTAGAGGGCCACAGCTGCTCCCACTTGGCACCCCGAAGAAAGGGCCTGGCTGCTATAAAAAGGCTGGTCCCACACTGTTCCCTTTGGTAGCTGGAGATGGGTGCTGGGGGAGGCTGAGGCAATGCTGCCTGGGGCAAGGCTGCACTTGCAGTGTTTGTTTTGTGGAGAAAGGAGTATTGCAGCAGGTGGAGCATGGCCTCTCTGTGCTATCCCTTGGCATGACTAACCGGGAGTGGATTCTGTGATCCCTGGCAGTGAGCTGGCATGGGTAAATCTTGAGCCAGTCCCTTCCCTGGCTCTGGTAGCAGCTTTTGTTTCCCTTCTTGCTTGCTTGCTTTCTTTCTAATTTCTCGTGTTCCCTCCTGTATGTCTTTCCCAAGTCAGTTTGCTGTCTCTCTGTGCGTTCGCCTGGCATACCCTATCTTGTAGCTGCATGTCTGTGCATGCAAAGTGCCTCTCTGCTCCCAAAGCCCCGAGCTCCTCCCAAGCCAGCTCTGGCTGTCTCATCCCTGTGAACAGTTTGTCTCCAAAACATCGTGCCTCCAAAGAGATCCTGAGGGCTTGGCTGGATGAGGGTCATTCCAGAAGGAAAGTTAGATTTCCAGTTTCAGCGAGACCTAGGACTTGCACCAGAGGAGAAGGAAGAGCTGATCTGCCTGTAATCATGATACTTGTACACCTGTGACAGCCCAGATAAATCTCTTTTTAACAGTTTATCGTGCTGTAATCAGATGAACGTAGAACAGGAAAACCTGGCAATGTTACCAAAGAAATTACAACATCTTTGTCTAATAGCCAACTGACAATGAAATCGCCTAATGGATAATTTTCACATTAAGTTTATTTTGTAGTGTCAGAAATGCGGGCATCTGGCTGCTGAAGTGAAGTCAGTTTAACAGGATTGATCTGGAGTTAAGGTAAATAGAGGAAAGAATAAATCCTACTTGAAATGTGAGATTTTGCAGTAGAGGCTTGTGTTAGGAGGACAGGAGCTCCTCAAGAGGTTCCAAGCCTGTTTGAACATGGGATGTCTTTAGTCTGCGACAGTGGCAAACTTGGTCACTGCTGAGCAGCCACCTCTGGGCTGGAGCTGTGCAGGGTGGGGGCCAAGCTCTCCTGCAGTCCTCAGCCAGAGAAGGAGGCAGAGGTTTTGCAGGCAGGGGTGTGGGCAGTTGCTGGAATGCCAAAGCAGCCCTGGAGATGAGACCTGCCCCTGCTCTGGAGCTGGGCAGGGGAGGAGGAGAGATGTTGGTGCTGCCTGACCCAGCTGACTCACCCATCTCTAGGGCACGTTTTGTATCGCACGTGATCTCGATATATAAAATTATTGTGTCCCTCTGCCCTGTGGAGCCCTGGGTCCCAGGGGAGCAAGTCGCAGCCCCCTGTGCAGGAGCCTCTGGATGCTGGGTGGGAGAGGGGCACGGAGAGGGAGCAAGACCTGGGCTTGTCCCAGAGAGTTCAAATGGGCATCGGCAGAGCCAAAGGGGGCTGCTCTCAGCCCTGAGACCCCTAAATGGGTAGAGTCAGCCTGGGGAGCAGAGAAGGGGCTGCGACCCATGGCGGTGGAGGGTTATTGCACAACAGAGCCACTTCGGCTCCGCGGTGTCATGTCTGTGACGGAGCAGAGCAGTAATCTGAGGAAGACCCACGCAGGCTGTAAGGGGAAAGCCCAATGCTGCACCACAGCCCTCCCAGGGCGAGGGTGCCCCGGCAGCCTTGGTGACAGAGCAGGCAGGAGGAAGGGGCTTGGGGGGATCACTTCTGCAGTGTGCTTTGTTTAGTCATTAACCTCATATTTAGAGAGACTTTAGAGGGAACTTGGAGAGGAATCTCCTGTTATCTCTGAGCATTGAATCACCGAGACTCCTTGGTCCCCAAATGGGTGGGCCAGCATCACAAATCCTGGTGAGTTAAGCGTGATCCTACCCTCCTGAGGGGCCAGGAACCCAAGTCTATCCTCACCAGGTCCCCGTACCCCTCTTCCCGGAGGCTGAGCCTCCTGGTCCTACAGCGCTCCCAAGGAAAGGTATCCCAACCTGTGCCCCAGCACTGTGCGGGGAAGGACCGTGGCCTCTGGGCAGCTGCAGGGGCAGAGCTTGAATGGCTTTTCTTAGTGGTTTCCACCCTTGCTGGGTGCTAAATGGCTTTCTGCTCTGGGAAAACCAAGCTCCAGCTGCTGCTGCTGGGATGGGTCTGTCTCTCTGCTCTGGGGCCACAGACTCGGTCATCTGTCTGGTGAGCCATCAGCAGTGTTTCACTCCGAAACTTTTGGCTAGTCTTTTCTCTTGTTTGGGGTCTGGGGGAAGTGGGATCCACCTTGTATTCAGCCCCAGCCCCGGTCCCTGGGCTGAATGTCTAGTGGAGACCTCTCACTGCCCTCAGCTCCTGGCGCGTGCCCGTCCCCAAGGTGTCTGGGCTGCAGGGCACCAACCTGCCTGCGCCAAGCACAGCATTGCTCCACCACCTCTATTTCTCTCCAGGGGAAGCAGAAACCCCCCAGTGAGCTGCCCCCCGACTGACGCCCCTGCCGTGCCCCAGCCCTCCCCAGGAGCATTTTGGCAGCCGCCCCAGGGATTTTTCCTCCTGCAGCCCCCAGCTTATCCCACCACGGTGGAAGGGAGAAGACGGAGGGGACTTACCGTTGCCCATAGCCAGCACCTGCATGTTCTCGAACTCCAGAGTGGTATACGCCGGGTCTAGCGCTGCGCTATAATCTGCCATCTCCATGTCTATTAGGGCTTTGGAAAGGCGCATTATCATCAGCAAACAGGGGCCAGATTGTACCGATTCCCTTGTCCGAGGCTATTGGCCCTTCTGCCTCCCTCTGCCGTCGCTGCGTCCCCTATCTGTTGTCTTTTATTTCAAATATTTCTCTGAAAGGATTTGCTGAGCCTCAAGGCCTATACTCCCCAGAGGGGTGGAGGCAGGAGGCAGGGGGTTAATCTTTAATCATCTTACCCACTGCCGAACGCCGCTAAGCTGTTTTTTTTTTTGGTGGAGCAGCAGTGATTCTTGTTGACTGTTTATTATTGAATCCCGAGGCTCTTTGCCGATCCCAGCTCGCGGGCGCAGGCAGGACCGCGGGAGCAGGCGCTCACTGACATGGGAACACCTTCCCAGGCTGTTGACCTTGATGCTGGGCTGCTGATGTTGGTCTTATTTGTACCTGGGGTGGAAAACTTGGAAAAAATCCCCCTGGGAGAACAAGGTTGCTCTTCACTCCTGTCATTGCCCTTCCCCTCCTCGCTGTTGGTTGCCTTCTCCCCCTAATTTTCTCTTCTTCTCACTCCCTCCATCCTTCCCACACCTTTTCTTTTTTCTCCCTCCCTGTCAGAGAAGGTCAGCGCCTGCCTGGCAATTTACACGTCGCTATGCAAAGTAACGATGTATGACTCCTTTTACTTCCCTATAAACTGACTTTTACAGGGACTGGATGCCCTATAAACAGGTCCCGTTCTGTAGCCATGCCCAAACGGCAAGCGGAGCTGGGGGGTAGCACAGGCACCCTGAGCATCGCTGGGGCTGCCCCTGTCCCACTGCTGGAGCCACCCTGTGCCAGGTACCCCCTCGCCTGGGGTTTTGACTGCTGCGTCTTAAAATTTTCATTAGACGTTTTACAACACAGCAGAACTTTACTCTGCAGCAGGACTTTTCGTTCTGTGGCTGCAGCTGCTGCCAGCTCTCTACCACTGGCACCAACGGTGGTTCTGCCACCTCACCCAGACCTTGGGTCTGACCCAGCTTGTACTGGGCAGGGGGTACCAGGGCGAGCGGCAGAGCTGCCTGTGCTCCTCCTTGCTAACCTGGGTGCTCTCCTCCCCAGCTGGCCCTGGGCACATCACTCTTCCGCTTTAGACAAGACGGAGATGTTCCAGTGTAATTGAAAGATCAGTGAGTGAGAATTTAATCAATCACTGAACGGCATCGTCTGGATGAAGGAGAAGCAGCAGTTAATGGTTCGGTATCAGCTCGCTCTGCTTTGAAAACATCCCCGTGATTTCGCAACCAGCAATGGGTGACTTGAGTTCACACACTGCTGATTTGGGCTCCCATCTGGCTTGTCTTTGTGCTTCCCAGGCACCCCAACACAGCCCTGGTCCTGCTGGTGCCCTGAGCCACTCTGGGCACAGTGGCATCGCTGGCCCAACGTGACACCATGGTCTCTGGCTCCACAGCAGCACATGCCTTTGGGCCATGATGCTGGAGACGATTTGCTGTTCACATTTTAGGAGCACAAGGGATTGTTTAAGCAGCCCTTACCCGCCAAAACTGTAACCCACTTAGCACTTCCAACCAGCTCTTCTACCCTAAGGCTACAGGTCTGCAGGAGTGAAGCTGAGCACGGGGGTGAGCCTCTGCTTTCTCACTTGGGACTGGTGATAAAGGATCCTTTGCTGCAGGGAAAACAGTCATCCGGTCTGTGCTCCCTAGAGAGGCCAGAGCTCTCTGCAGTCACGTGCTGGTGGCTCTTCCCTTCAGCAGGCGCAGTCATGAGCCAAAACTGTTTTAACGGTGTTCACACTGGGATGAGTAGAGCATAGCCCCCTCTGCGGCCCCGTCCCAGGGACCTCCATCCCAATCCCAGCCAGGCCACAATGATCCCTTTGATTAGATAAATGCGACAGACACTAGGTCAAATATGTGCAGGATTTGCCACAACGTCTAGTAAAATATCGTAAAAGCATGGCCCGTTTTGCTCTGCTCAGCAAAACAAACCTTTTGCTTAAATAGCCTGCTGAGCAAGGAAGGCTGCAAAGGCCATTTGCTCCGTGGGCAGGAAGGATTAAGAGGGGCAGGAATAGCCATCGGAGAGGCAGCGTGTGCGGGAGAGCAGCAGATAAGGAGCGGGGAAGTTTGGAGAGCATTAGGTGGCTCAGGAGGCCGAGGCTGGGACTGTCAATGGGACATGGCGCTTTCCGCCCAGGGGTCGTGTTGACTGTCGTTTTCTCACTACCAGTGTCCTCTGTCTATCGAAGGTGCCCTCTCCCAAATGCTTTGTCTTGGCCCGGAGGTCAAGGACCAAACCAGACAAGGACACCCTGTGCTTCCTTTGCCCCGGAGATGGGCTTGTGATGGAAACGCATCAGCTGCTCCCAGGCATGGTCAGCTGCGGGAGATGGATGTCTCCCTGGGAGTGTTCTGCCTGGGGGTTCCTTATCTCCCTCCAACATCTCTGCATGGTGGGTTTGGAGACAGCTTCCCAATGTGGTCATGGCCTGGGCTAGCTAACAGGACCCCTGCAGCTGTTTTAGGTTGGAGATGTTCAAGTCAGCAGCTGGTTGTGGGGTGATTCAAACACTTCTGTCCTACAGTAGATGTTTTGTCAGAGAGAGACAAATCGAAGCTGGCAAGCCCCTACTGGTAGGTGAAGGCTGTTCCCAGACCAGATGCTCAGGGGAAGTTCAGCTTTCAGGCTCTTTCTGCTCTCCTCCTCTCCCTGTTTCCTGTGCCCTTCACCCACCGTTTCCTACACCAGGAGATGGCTGCAAGGGAGACCATGACAGCTCTGGGGCTTGAAGTGTTCTGCACAAAGCAATTATTTAATTTTTATCTCTTGAGCAGTAATTCCTTTCCCACACTGACACAACGTGACACTAATTCTACCTTATCTATATATCCCTGACTGGCAAATTCATCCAACGCAAAAGGGGATTCCCTGAAAATAAGATCCATGCTTCTCAGTAAATGAGGATCAGGAATAGGCTATTTAATAGACCGTTTATGATAAGGATGCCAGCAGCTACTGTGCTTGCTAGCTCTTCATGTCAAATGGATTGAACAGGGTTTTGTAGGATCAAAGGATAACTGAGGTTGGAAGGGGTCTCAGGGTCTCTACTCCAACCCCAGCTGTGAGACCAGCATGGGTCGCTCGGGGCTTTATCTTGTCAGATCTTCAACACCTCCAAGGATGGAGACTGCACAGCCTCTCTGCACCTCACAGGTAACTGGTGCTTGACTGTCCTTGTGGTAAGTTTCCCCTTAGACACTGAACCCCTCTCCAGTTTTTATGCCCATTCATCTCCTCCCGCCATGTGCCCCGTGAGGAGCCTGGCCCCATCTTCTCGATGCCCTCTGTGTGGATTTTGCTCCTGTGGTTCTGCTGGCCCATTTCTCCAGCCTGCCGTGGGACAGCAGCCCTGCCCTCCAGTGTATCCACCAAAACCCCTAGTTTGGGGTCACCTGTGGGCTTTCTGGACATGGAGAGTGGTCGGGCTGCAGCCGGGAGCCTGAGGTCCTCCTGCTCTTTGCTTTTCCCTCTTACAGCTCTGCACTTGCAAGAAAACCCTGGCAAACCCAGAGCCAGCAGGACCAACCTCATCTTACACCAGCGATGCCACTGCTGTCCCTTGCAGCCCCGACTCCAGATCACTCCTACCATGTCACTCACAGCTCCAAGGCCACTGCGGGGCTGGAGTAGCTTTTCCTTGGCATGTGAGTGAAGCAGAGATAGGCTCAGCTCTGAAACCTCTCCAGAGCAGGAAAGCCCCGAACAAGGTTGAGGCCCCTGCTCAGCCCGTCACCATGCAGCCAAGTGAGCTGTCGGGGAAGCACGAAACTGAGTTACAAGACAAAGAACAAAAGTCCCAGGGGAACGTCACCAGTGTAGTCATCTCCACACATGCAAAGGTCCCTTCTGCTTTTTTTTTTTCCCCCCTTTGAAATTTCAAATTCCAGTTTGTGGACAAAGTCCTGCCTATCTGAGAATATAGATCTCCGACCACTGACCAAACTCCACTCCAAGCAGTCCCGAGCTCTTCCCCTTGCCCACGGAAGCCTCTGCTCAGTCCCCGGATCTGCCGGGATTGCACTGAAACTTTTGCACCAGCAGAGCAAAAGTACTTGCAGAGCCCTCGTACTTGCACAAAGCGGATTTTGCACGTTTCAGCCTCAGCGTCAGCAGGTGCCTTTCTACATGTGGAAAATGAAGGACTGTCAGGAATAACCAGGTAGGAGCTTTATCACCTGCAATTCATTTGGGCAGCCATTGCAGATAGAAGATGAGGAGAAACAAGGGCTTCCATTGTGCTTATACCAGCAATTTTAGCTCATCATTTAAATTAGGGAAGGGGGAAAAAAAAAGGTAGCTTCGGAGGAGATGGAAAACAAGAGGGAACATTAGCTCATGGAGGCAGAGCCGCTCCGTATGGTTAACTGATAACTCCAATTTGGGTCTTCCCTCTCATCTCTTCTGATTCTCCCGATTAAGCTCAACTTATTCTCATGCTAATCATTTCTTGACCTGTTTATTCTGCATTAAAAAATTAACAGAGAGCAGTTTACTGCATGACTTGCTCACACAGAACTGCTGCAGATTAGCAGGCAGGCTTTAAGCCTCTGCACAAGACTTTTGGGTCTAGCAGCCAGTCTGCACAGCTCCAGGATGAGCTTTTTTTCCTGTTTTTAAAGAACAGCTTTTTCTAAAGTCAATATAAATCCCCCTCCCTTCATGCTTTAAGTATATTTGCTCTGTGGCTATTTCCAAATGGGAAAGATAAAGCCAAGGGCTCGTGTTTTGTCAGACTTTTTGTAAACAGGGATATTTAGGCCACACTGTCAAACCTCTCTGCCTTCTGCCTCCGTGTGCCATGACTCCGGAGTGGAGTTGTCAGTGCGTTAATAAGCAGCTCCAAGGAATTTGGCAGAGGCTGGGGGGGCTGCAGGTCAGTGCTGAAACAAGCCCCCAGTTCAAGCAGAGGATCTTTGCCTCTGCTCTGGGCAATCGTATGACAGACATGCAGATGGGGGTCTGCTGCCGTGTC